AAAATTTAACCACCTTCTAATAAAATCCTAATAATTTTTTTAATGAAATCTTAAACAAATTTTAAAATAATCTAATGAAATTCTAAATAAATCTTAATCAAATTCCTATGATAATTTTAAAATCCTAATAATTATTTAGATATCTTTAGAATCTAGGATTTAGGATTTTGTTAAGAACATGAACCTCAAAGACCTAAAAGATCAATATACTCTTATGTCACTCAAAAAAAATTAAAGAATCACTCAAAGATGATAAAATATTAAACTAAAATAACTATTGCCAAAGACAAAAAGATTGGAAAGTCTTGAAAGAAAACTAAGGACTAAAAAGGTATTGACAAGAATGAAGAAGGTTTCATTCTTGCCTCCATATATACTATTTAACTATAAATTACGTGGCAATATTCTATAAGACCTCTAAGATATGTTGACTTTATTAGATATATATATAGATATATATATATATATATATATATATATATATATATATAAGATAAGTTTTTTATATAAGCGCCATATAGTTAACTTATTTGACAAGCTACTAATATGTTTGGCACAAATAATAACTTATTGAATAAGTTTCTATCCTATCAATCAACTATAAACACATGTAAAGTCAAAATTCCATCTATAAAGCTTTTAAGAAGTTTTTGTAGAAGATATTATTAAATTAATCTATATTTATGTACTTCTATCTAATCATATAGGTAATTATTAAATAAATACATATGTTTGTGATAAATTTAGACCAAAGGTAGGACAAAAAGCTCTAATTAAAGTTAAAAGATAGAAATAGATGGATTCTAATTCTTGACTCTAATTTTTTATTATAATCCAAAAATAAAAATAAATTATTATCTTATGACTTATATTTGGATTTAAAAATAATAATAAGATTTATATCACAATTATTCAATTATTAGAGATTTTTTTGACAATAAAAAAAACCGTTAAGATTAAAATGTCTATTAAGAGATGTTATATGTCTAAGGCTAAAATAACAATTCACATAAGAATTATTTAGAAGATACAAGAAGTCAAGGCAATTAATATAGAAGTTTTTATTATAGATAAAATTATACCTTATACAATTGTAGATGAAGATAGTGGCTTAAATACCATTCTAGTAAGAACTATAAAAAAAATTAGGACTAAGTATTATTGGACTTTCTTCTTACATAATTAACATAACTAATCAAAGTCAAGACACAAACTTAGAAAAAATTAGTAGGTGTAGAATTACAAAAAATTCTAATTAAAAAATTATCTATTTATTCACATAGCTATGAATATTGTACCAAGGTTATAAAAAACAACCAAGATAAAGATTAGAAATATACTATCTTTGTGGTAAAAGACACCCACTTAGTAGTTGTTGAATTAAAAATCAAGTTATATATAGAAATTATGGAGATAAGTATTCTATTGAGGCCTTTAGGTAACTTAATAAGGTAGTTTCTTTAAACTTTTTACAAGGTAATTACTAACAATAAGTCCAAGCTAATATTTAAATAAATAAATAAACCTAGATCTAATAATAAATTAAAACCACCTAACATTCTTTATAATTATTAGAATAATTTTTGAAACCAACATCCTCTATTGAATTTAAATACAAAGAAGAGATATATTTTCTTGAATTTGGGCAAAATCAGTATAGCCAACAAAATAATTGCTAAGGTTTATAAAATATAAGGTATTTAGAAATATTTAATAAAAGAAAAAATCTAAAACTTAAAAAAAACCAACCTTTATTTTTTCATACTAATTACATCTTTAATGAGAAGTCATCTCATAAGAAAAAAGAACAACCTAATATATCAACCGCAAGAGTTATGACTAAGTTCAGGTATATTAGTCTTTTCTTTCTTACCTCAATTGAGAGTGAGAGCATTTTTAAAAACTCTCTCAATTTCTTAGCCCTCAATGAAGTCACTAAAGAGGCAATGGCTAACATTAGAATTTTTAAAAAATTATCTTAAGATCCAAAATCCTTGCCAAATATATTATCAAAAAATATGAAGGTATCCACATAAAAAAGATTCTTTCTAAAAAATAGTAGAAAAAGGCTTCAAATTCCAATTCTTAAATCCATTCTTTTATTAAAATCTAAGAATAAAAAAAAGCCATTGCCTCATGAATTATAGATAGATTTGAAGACAATTAAGGCTAATATTATAATTACTCAATTATTGGAGATTTTTCCAATAATAAAAAAAACCTTTAAGATTAGAATTTCTATCAAGAAACATTAAAGTTCTAAGGCTAAAATAGTAGTGCATATGTGAATTATTCAAAGAATACAAGAAGTCAAGGCAATCAACATTGAAGTCTCTATTGTAGATAAAATCATATCTTATATAATAGTAGATAGGAATAGTGGCTTAAATTTCATGATTATAAGAATTATAGAAAAATCAAGACTAAGTATCACTAAATCTTCTTCTTGCATGATTAATATAACTAATCAAAGTTAAGTCACACTCTTAGGACAAATTAAAGGTTGTAAAATTGTAAAAAATTCTAATTAAACTCAAATAAATTTTTTAAGAAAAATTAATTACATACCACCACACAAATCTAATATTGGAGAAAATATAATAAATTATTGATCTCAAGCACTACTTCAACAATCAACTAGAAGAAAAGTCAACTACCAACTATCAAAGACACTAAGAACCATTGCAATACTTTCAATTGCAAGGACACATACAACAAAGGAATCACTAATACAACACCTAGCTCTTCTAGTAACAATAGCACTGCTACCCCCAAGTAGAGACAAAAAGATACCAAGTGAGTCTTAAATACACTTATAGCAAAATCAATGATAGAGAAAAAAAAAAAAAAACAAAAAACAAAAAACAAAAAAAAAAAAAAAAAAAAAAAAAAAAAAAAAAAAAAAACCACCACCAACAACAACAACAACAACAACAACAACAACAACAACAACAACAAAAACAAAACAAAAATAATAATAAAAAAAAAAAAACAAAAACAAGATTATGTCATAAATATTGAGCCACATTAAAAAAAACAAGAATCAATTCTAGCTCTCTAAAGATCAACCAACTCTATTTGATGCTATAAGTTTAAAGATTGTGTTGCTTCTCAATTTAACACCACAAAGAAAAAGAGAACAACCAAAAAACCAAAACATTAATTAATTGCAACCAAGAATAATAATACAAGGAAAAAAAAAACAAAGATCTAAATTACATCACTGTTGTCCATGTAATTTGCCAAAAGCTAGCAATATGTCATAATATTGCAAAAGATTGCAACTTGGAAACCATTGCAAGCTCTAGTGTAGAGTAGGATGTTAACAATATTGTAGAAGAATCAAAACAATTAGAAAGAATATTAGACAAGCCATCAATTAAATAATCCTTATTAATAACAATTATGTAAGAAAACTAACAGATATGGCAAAGAAAAAAAGAATTACTACATATTGACATTATGAGTAAGAGAAGAAAAAAAGAACCAAATCACACAACCATGGCTCTACTAGACTCAATACTCTAAAATCCCAAATTATTGTAAGTAGTGTAGGAATTCAATGCAATAACAAGAGATGATGCAAAATTATACCACCATATTTTTAGAACAAGAATATGAAAGAAATTTTTTTTAAAAATGCTAATAATTAACAACTAGCAATGACAACCATAAGCACCACTACAATTATGCACCTATCACACACAACTTCTACAATATGGTTACACTTCCATCACACACTCTCTTCACAACCTACTTAAATTTCTATCATGTATTACTTTTGGAACTTAATTATGCTTTTGTTGCACTCTATCTTTACAATGTGATTGTACTTCTATAGTACATTGCTTTTGTAACTTGACTATACTTCTATCATGCATTGCCTTTGCAACATGAGATTCTTTCAAATATTGATATCTACATTAGATGTCAATAGTTTATGTCTTCTTTCATTGATGGCTAGAGAATATAAGCGCATTTGTAAATTTGACCATCAATTTTGACACTTCCAACAATTTAAGATATGTGAAGTCATTGTTGTGATGCAACCAATGCTTCTACAATATTATCACACTATTGTTCTTGCTAAAATCCTACCATATCAACATTTGCTCCCCTAAATCTTGATACAAGGATATGAAGAAAAATCCCAATTATTTTGACTATCTTCATGGCCTTGGGTGGTGTCTTGTCTTGACTAACTATTTTGCCTAATTGCTCTTCATGTTGATTTTTCTCTCTGATTAGGTGATTCCAACCCACATAGTCTTGCATTCAAAAAAAGATTCTTTAATGTTGGTGTTTCATCAAAGTTTGTAGATGGCTTCCACATAGTCTTGCATTCAAAAAAAGATTCCTTAATGTTGGTGTTTCATTAAAGTTTGTAGATGGCTTGAGTCCCATGTTGCTTTTTGCTGCTACAAGATTCAAACATGCTCAAAAATATTTACAATAAGAATGCAACATTATGACATGAAGTTCTTTAAATGCACCCACCTTCTTTTCAATAACTTGTTACAGCACTCTTGTGATTTCCAACTTATCATAGGAAGGTACATTCTCCCTCAGATTATGCTTACTGATTCAATTTTGATTTTCACTTCAAAATCTACCATTATTATTCTATTATCCTGCTCATATCTGTTTACTGTTAATATGTTTTGATAATAAAGATTAAAAGTCGGTTTTCCTTAGTATGATTTAGTTATACTAGTAAGAGTAATTACATCTACCACTTGAGCTTGGTCGACACCTAATAAAAACCGCAAGCGGACTCTGCTACTGGGCAATTATAGACAGCCTGCATCACCAATGTATTAAAAAGGGTCCTTTCAATTTGCTCGGACAATAGACACGCAGAAGTGAAGACTCTAAACAGATGATTACTGTATCTTAGTTATGGCAGTTACAAATTCTATTCCTAAATTAGTGTAAAACTTTTATATGAAATTAACTTTAAAAGTGAGTATGCTAGGATAACACGTGGAACTGATTCCAAGAAATAAAATAAACTGAAGCTTAGAATCTATAAACTCTGAAGAGGCGATTACACTTCGTAAATTTACATGTACACTGAACTTGTCGTCAATAAACCTATTGACCTCCAAAAGTTAACAACACACACTAGCTGACGAAGTTCTAGAAATTATGGCATCAAACTACATCCTTTCATTGGACTAGATAGCTTGGGCGATTTGTCAGATCTCTATGATTCGCACACAAAAAGATGGACGCTTGAGTTTTTCTACGAAACTGAGTTACGCTAGAAGAGCCTGCAGACCAAGCGGTCGGCTTTTATGCCAGATGAAAAAATTGGCTCTCGAGGTGGGTCGAGGGGTGCCGTGCCTCGACTTGGGATGAACAGCGGAAGCAAGCAATATTGAGCTGCAAAGGGTCGATTCAAGTTTGCTTTCTCTATCATACAACTTCACATGAGGACGGCAAGCTGTTCGCAGAACAGGTGTGCTCCCAGCATAAACGAAGCGATTGGAATAGGGATTCAGCAAACTGTCGCTGAGGTTTATTGCAGTGTCAACCACAATGTCCTGTTTCGCCAAGAGCACACTTCTGTTAAATAAAATTCGGAGCTCTGATAGAAAGTATAGGTAAGTGCCACCAATGGTAGCAAAGAAGAACTGTATCTATGACTGAGCGAACTATAGGTGAATAAGCTAAACCAGACACAACTCTTTTAAGCATAAAAGGTTCTCTTTGAAACATTTAGTTGCTAGATCGTGCTCCATTGCACAGGTTTTATGATAAGTGTGACGACAGGCATCAGTGCAATTAAGACAAGCATTACCTCAGCTAAAGCCTTGATTTTGAGGGCAATGTCATCAGTTAAGATAGCGACTCGGACATCTGGCTTTCTTTTTTGGAAGAGCGCACATTCCAGGACATGATCATGAAGAGTAGGATGCATAAGGTCACTTTCACCAACGTACGAATGAAGACCTCTGCACAAGAATAACACGCGACCTCATCTGACTACATACCTCTGCTTAAACGAGTTCACGAAACACTGTCACTTCGAACAAGTTGCCCAATTCATACGAAAATGTGCTGTGCTGCTGATATCTTACAGAGATAAGAATATCGAATCGCATTTGCAATAGAAGATGCTTGAAAATTAGGAAAAATATTGTGTTTAGACTGAATTTCCATATACTCGCTTGCAAATAAAAACACATGTTACACTAGAAAATGAACATATACAATAATATCGACTACAGAAAATTAAGAGCCGAAATACCTGGAATAGATGGAGGGCGACACAGGAGGTGTCATCGCCACATGCACAGTTTCTCCAGGGCTTTGAACGTGAATCCAAGAGGGCGACTTCAACATGCAAGATTCAATCCATTGAAGCGCAAAAGACGCACGAGGCCTCCAGTCTTCTTTTTTCTGCAAGTTATCAAGCTCCCTTACAACTATGATGTAGTTGTAGAAGAGAGCACACGACTGTGAGAGAAGTGCAAATAACTGAAAAAAGTCACGAACGATGAATGAAAATACACGGTGGAAGACGGCAAATAACTACCCTGTATCAAAGTAATTTACCGATGTTTGGGATGACAAGACGAGTCTCGAGAATGCCTTCAAGTCGCTTGAGAGACTCGAGGGACTCTACATTCAAAAGACAGTCCGTGTCTATGACCATGTGCCATTGACGTCCTGCCTCCACTTGGAGCCTCACCTGCCAGTTAGGACACGATTAGACGTACTTCTCTCGAACGGCCGGTGCTGCGGATAATGTTTAGCTGGCCAAATATTCCAAAAGAACTAAAAGAACTGGACGGATTTACACATAGAACAAGGGAATTGGGTTGACTCACGCTATTTGCTGACATCTTGACATGACTGAGAACTGAGCAGGTAGCGTAGGTCAACCTAAAACCTGTACTCTGGGTCGATGTCTAAAGAAAGCATATTTCGTGTGAAAGAAGAATAAGTACTCGTAAATTATTACAGAGCCCACCCGAAGCAGTTGTTGAGATGCAGTAGGAGTATTAAAAACATCACAGCTCTGATGCATCGAAGTAGATGGTGCACTGTATAGTGTCTGAAGGGGCTCCCTAGAGCAATTTCCGACCATATTGAACCCTCGCGGCAATTTCAAGGTCATAGAACCAACTCCGGGCAGGAGAATCTCATGCGATGGAATGTTCTCCTTATCTGAATCATGATACTCATTCGAATCATCGTCACCGTAAATCTCCGCGGATAGCTTTTGTAGGGCACTCTCGATAGTATTTTCTTCATCGGAACAGGCATGTACTGAATCCGAAGGAGTATTTTCAGCATCCTTCCATGCAGTTTCACTTTCAAACCTTAAAACTTGAGGAGTTACGTATTCAGTCTGCTGGAGCGATATAATTGGAGTTTGCAAACCTTCTTCTGTATCTGATATAGTGGGGACCACCTGCATCGGTGGGAAATTGTTGGCGAAACCCACAGATTTGGCAATCATGTGTTTGTCAGGTGTTGAATTTAGTGTAGAGCCCATTCGTATGTTGAGCTCAGATGGCGGAATAGGGGTGAAGGCCAGACGACGACAAGGAGTTACATCATCACCTCTCGGGGATTGCCTTTTCGTTGTGGAAGAATCACCGTCGTCGTAGACTAATATCGCTGCTGGTGTCCTCTTCTTTGACAGTCTATTGGTGCTACATCTATTCTCCTGCAATACAACATTCGAATCAGCAGGATATGAAACATCAAGAACTTTACAAACCAGGGTGTTTAAATCTAGGCCTCAACAGCCATATCATGTTCAGTATGCTGGTGGAAAACTAACAAGTGCCAGTAATTTGAAAAACCCAAACCTCACACAGTACCGTAAGACAAGCTATATAAACGACGTTACAACCCACCGTTGAGGGCGTCGAAGTCAATCCTTGGCTACATACATGCATACGGATTGCAACGAAATAAATAAATAAACAAATACGAACACCCTCTTTAACCCGGAGATCAAACAATACAGGTGAATAGTTTGTATACATTGTCATCATGGCTTCGTTGATCCGCAACGTTGTCCTGAGGCTTCACATGATGCGAATATGACGATCGAATTTTCTGTAGAGCATCCAACGTGGAAGTTAGAATCCAGACCACTACTCTCAAGAGATTAGCGAATTGGTTGTCTTTCAAGAGTGAAATACCGTCACTCAATACATCCTACACTTTCGAACCCCTATTTGATGGTTGTGCACGCCTGCTACAGAAGCATTATTGTAACTCCAGGTTAAAGAAATTAGGAAATGTACAGATTACCGGCACCCTCACACCAGACCCCGCCAATCTCTGCTTCCTTGCCCTCTGCTGACTCCACGATTTGCTGCCCTACATCAGACAACACATACTGAAATTAAGATTAAATCAAGATTCGCGCAGCTAAATGTGGAAAAGCATTTGCCAACTGCTACCTACAGTCGTAATTTTGATAAAACGAAAGAAACTTGTGCGCAAATATTCTCCAAGAATCTATACTAGCTTCCCATCAAGTGGCATTGGGGCATTAGTAGCTGTTGAAACGAAGAAAAACGTGACAGTACATCTAGAAGAAGTGCACAACACAACTACAAGAATGTTATAAATTGTTAGTTCACCTGATTAGGTTTACAGATGAACTTAGCCTTAGAACCACCATCAGAAAAATGCTCAAAAACACCGTCCAAGGCAACCTGCAAAGAGCCCATTCGTACCACAGCATCCTTGTCTACTGCTTCGTGAGCGACTTCGCACGTGCATTCATGAGGTTGGACCATCAGTTGGACAGTGATGTCGCCTGTTTGAATCGCTCCACCATCCTCCACCATGCTGCGTTGCACGGCTTCAGTCGATCTTCTTTCCAAACCTACACCAGACTTTGCGTTTGAACTGATTGTAGGTTAAACTCGCGTGTTTATCCCTTCAATTTCCACTCCGAAAGGGCAACTGAATATAGCGAGTCGTTTTCAGCATAATGATTACAGGGAAACAAAGAGGTAATTCTAATGTGGACAGTGTTTGGTACAAAAAAGAAAATTTGCGAGGGCAGTTGTAAAATCACGAAACTAACTCATGCCCAAATGGGAATACTCGAATCTAAACTGCAAATTGTTATAACTAGTGGAAATTCGACTCTGGATTTCTCTTCCAGACCTTCCTCAATGCCGTCAGCAGCTGCCACAATATCAGCTTTGTGCCGCACATTAGTATCTTGTACAGCCCCAACTGATTCCATCGTAACCGAATGGGGATCATAAGGTGTATAGACCACAAACAGCTATCCGATCGCTTCCTGCAGGACCACTACCTCATCAGAATCCACAAGAAGACGGCAATCGGAGCTGCAGTGACGACCGCAAGACATGAATGTGAAAGAGACAAATGTTAATGTCTGATATGAGACATTCTGCGCTGTCCACTGTCGCATGAATGTCTGTCGCATAACAGACATTAAATGAAGGCTACAAACAGAAACTTATCGATCAAACCACTTGCTAAGCCGGGCGAAGCTGAAACAGGTGTATCGAACAAGGACGCGATGAGATACAGTTCTCGCCGGTACGCTTTACGATCCATGTCAATTAGAACGCAGACACTGCCACACCCCAACTAATACGTTCATGAGTTTAACCAGTGTCGGTCACTTATGGATCGTCGATAAAGCCAGGTAAAATCTAAAGCTTATCGGCGACAAACAAATGAGGGGCACATTTTTATCAGGAACCGAAACCGAGACCTAGAACCATCAAGCAAGTAGTTACTAAGCGTGGACGAACCATTTGTAGAACACCACCGCAGTGAGCCGACGTCCCTCGGACAAACGCGCGAGGAGCTCCAAACCATTGCTGCAAATCTCGCATCCTCTCCAACTCGCCCTCGACGGCTCGAGCCAATTCCTCTCCCAAATCTCCCTTGCCTCAGTTTACCTCCGAAACACAACTGGAACCAATTTCCGCAGCACGAAAACTTCCGAGCGAGGGAATATTCCAACATGCCACGCAGGAATATCATCACTCCTCCATCCACAACATTCTGTGGCGCTTCGCTTGCCTGCGATAACCATCATTTCTTACCACCATTACCATAAATCCCGGCGTTACACCCCCCTTTGCAATGAAGAAGCCCACCTCCAGAATCCTCGCCTCGAGACCAAATTTCACCCTTGACGGCGAAACGATCACTGACGATTTGCTCATGGGATGCGAACGAGGAATCTTACGAAACCTAGGTCGAGGTGAAGAGAGGGTCTAGGAACAGAAACCATCCGTTCGTTGCTTCACCCCGCCAAATTTGAAGAAGGGGCGGGAACGCACGTCCGCAAAAATTTGAATGCCGGGACCTGGACCACTGTGCATCTCCGCCTTGCGTCATTATGGGGAGCCGCCTTTGGCTTTCCAATTGTGTGCGGAAACTTGATTGCTAACGTGATGGTGCAGCAGCATCAGCAACTCATTCCAGTGGTGGTGGTAGCCATGGCGCTTTTCCCAAAGATCTCCTTCGGCCAGGAGGTTGCTTAATGACGACTATCGCCGTGATTGCTCCTCTTGTGGATGGATGCTTCGGTGTCGCGCTGGATTTTCCGCGTGGTGGCTGCTGAGAAGTGCCATGGTGCTGTTTCGCAACACCTCCTCTCTTGCTTCCAAGCTGACCAGACTATGCAGTAAATAACTACGGCTGAAATATTTCGTATGATTTGCCGGTAGGAATGGTTCCATGCTACGAAATCGATTAATGCTGTATGTTTCGAATTTAATTCTTTCGAGGCTTGTAGATAAATTGCGACCTATGTCGTTGCCAGAAGAGTTTGGTTTTTCTTCGTTTTATATAAGACTCGAGCAGTGGTTTCATGCGCTTTACTCAAGGTCTTCGATAATTTGCCCTTTCTTACTCTGGAGGTATGTTTGTATTAATTTCACCAAACTAAATAGCTTCACCAAACTTTTTTTCTTTTTCATGGTTATGCTTTGATGACTTAATATTTTGTTATGATAGGGTGATGTATATCATAAATCAACATGATTTATAATACTTCCAAAACAAAGTATTTGTGAATAATAGAGGGTTTCAAACATGGTACTTTCACAAAACCAAATAATTAAAATTCAACAATTGATATTTCTAAGATCACTCAAAATATCAAATCCAAAATATCAACATTCAAATTTTATTACTCCATGATATTTTAGTGATGTATCAAGTGATATCAAGTTGACCTAACATATTGACTTAACATTCTACATCCAATCTTTTGTCAAAGATATGAATCTCAAAGAACCAAAAATTCAATATATTCTTATATAATTCAAAAAGAATAGATATTTATTCGAAACATGGTATATTTTTCCATCTATTTGATAAAGAACTTATCATTTTTTAGAATCTTTATCTTGATTATGTCGTATTAAATGCTAAATTATATATTTTTTTATAGTAAAGATTTTTATTTTGGTTTTGATTGATATTGTTGATGAAAAACATCAATCTTCTTTGTTGCATTTGCAAGATTCTTAGCAGACTTCCATGTGCATTCATTAATATTATATTTGTGCTAATAAACAAGATATTCTAACTTATTTTAGTGTTGCTTTGAGTCTAAGACTTATTTAATTTCAAACTCTTAATTATTATCTATTTCTATAAGAGGAGGTAGTATTTATCTTCTTCTCGAGATATTCACTAATTTATATGGTTGTTACAAATATATTTATTCTAATAGTTATCTAAATGATATGAATAGGTAGAAGTAGATAAAACTAGATTATCTTTTAGAAAAGCTTCATAGAAGCTTCATAGATGCATTTTCATCTTTATACATATCTGTAGGTAATTGATAGGTTAAAAACTTGGCCAACAAGTTAGTCACATGTTACACATGTTAATAGCTTGTGGAATAAGCTAACTATATGATATGTGTATATGAAACTTATCTTGTAAGTTAAAAATATATCTTACAAATTGGACACATGTTAGAGGTCTTATAAAACATTGCCATATAACTTTTAGGTAGATAGTATATATAAAGTCAATTCTAAAGCCTTCTTTATTTTTTTCTTTTTTTCTTTTTTAAAAAAAAAAAAAAAAAAAAAAAAAAAAAAAAAATAGTCTAATTTCAAGAGTCTCTAGTTTTCTAGCCTTTGACAATAGCCATTTTAATTTCTTATTAAATATATTTACTTTCTTATTTTTAATTTTTCATCTCTCTTTGATTTATTTTTTTTTATTTATTTACATATCTTTTTTAAATTCTTGTCTTTGACAAGTTAATTAAAATATAAATTCATTATTTTTGTCTTGTTCTTAGAAGTGAGTGAATTATTCCACTTCTATTGATGTGTTTTGAAGATTTCAAACTATCCACTTTTGAACTAATATTCATTATATTCTAAATCTTGATTTTTTTTCTTTTAAAGAGAGCAAATCATCTCTTTTTGTGGAAATTTTTATTTAACATTAGAAATTATAGATTATCCTCTTTTATTTAATTTGTAGATTTATTAAGTTATTTGAAATGAAAGAAAAAATCATAAATGCTATACTTAAGATTGAAGAGAATAGATTTGTAATAATCACATATTTTCACAAGCTTTTCAATAATTTTAGGATAGAAATTTCATGCATCATCAATGCTAACCATAAAAACACTATTTCTATATCTATAGAAGTAGTCTAAAATCTATGCTAAGAAGTTGTGCACTTGAAGGAAGGAAGTAGATCAACTTTTCAACCAAAGTCAAGAAGTCTTGCTTCTATAAGTACAAAAGAGAAAATAATTAGTATGGTCAAGAAGTCTCATGGAACAAGATCAAAATTTCAAAGATTTTTGTAACAAGTCAAATTCTATTTGAAGTCAAATTTTTTCTAATATTCTAATGGATTTACTTAAATTAGATTCATAGATACACTTTTATCTAAAAGTCTTTTTTTTTAGTTTTTACCTTTGATAGAAAAAGATTTATAATTTTTTTATGAATTAAATTTATTTTTAAAAGTATTTATAGTCACATTTAGAAAAAATTATCATAAAAGAGTAAGAAAGACCAAACTCTTATTTTTACAATAAAAATCATGGTCAGCTACCATATATGCTGTTAAATTCCAAAACCTTGCTTGTGACATCGATTGAAATGACAAAGTCCTTACCAATCAATTTTGATATTGATTGAAGGATAACATTATAGATTTTTTATTAACAATGTCAAAAGAAGTTTTTTTAGAACAATTTATTGCTTAAGCCATTGCATGCAATAATTGACTATTTCAAAGATATCAAGAACAAAAATTTGGGAAGAGAGAAACAAGCGAAGTAATGATGGTAATTCTTAAATTTTTAGAAACTTATTTATCAAGATCAAAATCAATGCAAATTAATATAATACATTTTAAATATCTCATTGAATATGAAAAGATTCAACATTATTAAAAAGATTTGTGCTTATGTTATAGAAAAACTAAGCATACTACTCAACATTGTCTAAAAAAGTAATATAATTATGAAAGAAAGAGCACAAATGCACAAAGTAAAGGGTCCTATTCTTTTCTTAAATCCTTCATCTTATTTTACAATAGATGTGTATTTAGGATCTAAAAATCATGAAGTCTTTGTCTTATTAGATTCACAAGTCTCAACTTATTTTAGAAACAAAGACTTTGTCAAAAAATAAAAAACTTCTTTATTCAAAAAACTAAATCCATACATGTAGAAGTCATAGATGGTTGTTTGTTGTCTTTTAGAAATGTTACTTATAAGATTTTTCTTTGAGATATAGTAATTACAGATTATAATAGTATAAAAATATTTAATATAATAAGATTTTTTTCTAATTCAATTTTTTTAAGATTATTGTTATTAAAAAATATAAATTTTAAATAGATTGGATTTCTCATAACATTGAATTTTTTTTAGTTTAATCCAAAATATCATTAGTAAAGTAAAAATACATAAGTTTAATATATCCAAATTCTTACTAATAGATACAAGAGCTTTTATGTATGCGATAGAAGAAGGATTATCTTTTGCTATATATACCATGCTTATTTTTTATGATGGAAAAATATTAAGTAATATTCTTAGTTAATATTAAAATTTTTAAGACGTTTTTTTAAAAATATATATATAAATATTCTTTCAAAGCATTGATCTTATAATTATTCAATTGATCTTGAAGAAGGAGCTCAACTACTATTTGGACCAATTTGTTACTTATTGCAAAATAAGTTGGATGCTTTAAATGAATATATTGACAAAAACCTGACTAAGAACTTCATATATCATTCAATATCCTTAGCAAAAGCTCCTATCTTATTTGTGAAGAAAAAAGATGGAGCTTTGTAGATGTGTATATACTATTGAGGTATAAAAAAGTTCACCATTCAGAATATGCATCTTTTATTTCTAATTTTAAGACTTCTTCATCAATTCAATTAAACAAAAATCTATACAAAAATACATTACAAAGAGCATATAACTTAGTTCACATTAAAAAAGAAGATGAATGAAAGACTATTTTTTAAACTAGGTATAGATATTTTGAATATAATATTATATTTTTTGGACTAAAAAATGCACCATCTACTTTTTAACATCTTATAAATGGTATTTTTTTGCAAGTTTCTTAATAATTTTATCTTATTTGCTGTGTATTACAAAAACTAAGAGATGCAAGATTTTATGCTAAAATAAAAAAATATGTATTCTATATTATTTAGATTAATTTTTTAAAGTATATTTTTTCTAAAAAAAGTCTCATGATAGATTCTAAGAAAAACTAGACTATCATAGATTAGAAGATTTAAAAAATAATAAAAGATATTTAATGATTTTTGAGCTTTGATAATTACTACTAAATCTTTATCAAGATTTTTTTTTAAGTTATAGCTCCACTTATACATTTGACTTATAAAAACAAACTTGAATAGAGTAAAAAAGCTAAAGCATCATTTAATGATTTAAAGAATGAATTTATTTTTATACCAATCTTGTATTATGTTGAATTTTTCAAAACATTGTTTATAGAAACAAATACATCAGATTTTGTCTCAACTGCAATATTATCACAAATAGGAGTAGATAACAAACTTTATTTAATAGTTTTTTATCTAAAAATATTTTTAGTAGCAAAGATCAACTATAAAATATATAATAAAAAACTTCTTGCAATTATGGATTTTTTTTAGAAATGAC